CTTCAGAGCGTGGTGCTGATACCCTCTAAAAATCCCAGCCTTTCCCTTTCTCTGAAGTGCGAGACGGGCCTGCCTTAGCTTTTGCATATTGATAGGAATGCAGGCGTCGGCTCCCAGGAGTGAAGCGATGACAGAAAGCTCTTCCCTCAAACAGCCCCAAAACTTGCTGAGAGCAGAGCCCTGCAGATTAAACTTGACATGAAGTGCAGGAGCAGGGCTGTTATCCAGGGGGTTCCTGTAACTGAAGGACTTTAACTCGTGGGAGGCTGAGGGTAGAGGAAGGGATCGTGGAGCAGTTCAGAGATTGTGCTACAACTCAAGTGTTGAGTGCGTAGAGCACAGATAATACTGAAAAGGGAGGCTACGCTTCCAGCAAAACCAGGGACCAGCTTTGATAGCATACCAGTTCTGCACCTTCTCCTAAAAAAACTAACCCTCCAAACCCCAAAGCTTTGAACCCCTGAGGAGAGGGTTCAGAGGAGCTGTTTCACTCAGTGCTATAACCATTAATTACGATCTGTGTGTGGATGCTGTTGGTGCTAGAGCCTCTTACCGTGTTAGCAGAAACGGATGCAAATTGAATGCTTATTCAGAAGAAAATTGGGGTTTAAGTAGCCACGTGGGTGGTCATGAAGTGGAGCAATGGTGAGTGCACCAGAGGGATTCAGTATCAGCAGAGCTGTGAGTTCTGGGTGCTCTGGACGTCACAGGCATGCGGCTGCCTTGCAGACGGACACGTGTGACCTGTGAGTGGCTGAGAAAGACAGGTTTTTGTCTGTTACCCTCTTATAAGGGTCTCGGGTACCTTGAAGACTCACATTTATGGCTGTGCTGTTCTGCAATGACCAGCAGTTTCCTTCTTGTTTGGTTTTTTTTTTCGTCTTAAGGAACTGAAGAGCAGTGTTGAGGGTCCCCGGTTTCACTGACTGTTGGTTTGTTACAGAAATACCACTCGGAGAGCAAGGGCACCGACCAGGTGGCAGAGACGCAAGCTCAGATTGATGAACTGAAAGGAATCATGGTTCGAAACATAGGTACCTGGCTTCCCTCAGCACCACGCGTGCAGGGCTCCTCGGGGCTGGGGGAGTTCCCAAGCTGTCCCTTGCATTGAATTTGGCTGCGGGTGACACGTGGGGGTGAGGAGCATGGCTTGAGATTGCACAGCTGGTGATTTGGGCTGTTCGTTGCTGTGGCTTTTCCTGCAGCCACTCTGAGGAAAATGCTCCTTGGTAGCCTTGGTTTTGTTTTTGTGTGAGAGGCTGGTTTGGCTTCGGACAAGTCTGACCACTTAAAAACAGAGGATTAGATCTGGAATGGACCAAAATTGAGTCAGGTCAGGCCCAAAACGTAGCCTGAGGTGACCATTCCCTCAGTGCTGTTGCCTGGCGAGCTCTGAAAGGCTAAGAGCGACTCGATGGCTGGTGGGCTGTCAGTTGGGCTTGGGTACTGAAAGCAGCTTTTTACACTGGGATTCGACTGACAGATTTGTGGTTTTGTCTTTTTCTCCAGACCTTGTGGCCCAGAGAGGAGAGAAGCTGGAGTTGCTGATCGATAAAACAGAGAATCTTGTGGATTCGGTAAGTCTGGAGAAGAGCTCCAGCTGAAAAGCTCAAACTTCAGAGTAAAAGGGCTGTGTTTTCTCACTCCTGTAGTAGCCTTGACCCCCAGAATGTTATTCGTGAACCAGATGTGTTAGATCCCTCTCAGCAGAGGCCCTTTTGGGGGACATCTGAAGGAGCTGGCAGTCAGAGCAGCGCTGTCCTCAGGAGAAGCTGCCTGGACTGCGATGGAGTATGCTGATCCCCAGCAATCTGCTTCCACATGGCACAGCTGAGGGCTCCTGAAGCTTACATAAGGCATGGGAATTGGCTTTAAGTCAAAAACCACAGTTTCTATAACTCAGGAGCTGTGTAGATATGCTCGTTTGGCATTGAACCTCAGCAAAAAGAGCGTCCTCTCAGCAACTCCTAGTGTTCTGTGATTCCTAGGGGTGTGATTCTGCCTGGAAAAACTGTGGGTAGTTTGTGGGGAAAACCTGAGAACAACCAGCAGAGTGTGCTGCCGAGCTGGCTGCTGCTGGGCTGCTCCAGGACAGCGGGTGCAAGCAGTGGCACTGATACAGGTGGGGGCTTGAGGTCATTGGTGAGCAAAACCTGCTTTGAATGGGTGGAATTGCAGGATACAGAGAGGAGACCCATACATCAGGCCCAAATACTGGAGGAAAGTTCCAGCATGAAAGAACTTCTCCCTGTGGAGAGTGGCAGCATGGGCTCTCTCATTTTGCAGGTATATTTACAGTAATAATGCGTTGGTGATGAGATCAGTGGTTCCATAAATATTTTGGAGCACTTCAGTTCCCTAAGGGTTGGAAGACCTAGGAGAACCTGACCAGGAGTACTCTGAGGTGACCTGATCCTGTGGGAGCCTGCAGACCTAGTGGTGGTCTGTGTTTCCTTCCCCCAGGCTGTGCATGGGAAGGCACAACCCCAGCTTGTTCAGGACTTGATACCGCACTTTATCCTCCCGCTGAAGTAGCGTGAGGGAGTTTTCTCTTGGTGCCTGTTGAGTTTTGTGTTGGTGCAGGAGTTAAATGGCTCTGCAGGAGGTAACTGCAGTGGGTTGGGTTGCTGGGGAGGCAGGAGCTGGGAAAAGCCCCTTCATTGAGCTCCCAGGGGTGTGGGTGCAGGAATTAATTTGTTTGACTTTCTCTCGTAGTCACTCACTTTCAAAACGACCAGCAGGAACCTTGCCAGAGCCATGTGTATGAAGAACCTCAAGCTCACCATTGTCATCATCATTGTATCACTTGTGAGTATGGAGTAGGAACCTTTAGCTCTTAAGCCCAGCTTAACTACTGGAAAATGCCTGTAGTGTGTTACTGTCTGTGCACCCACGTGTACTCAGCTCTGTGCCTGGGAGGGTCTGAGCTGTAAAATGAGTGTTTTGGTGGTCTGGTGTGACTTTTCCTGTCAAGGCAATAGGAAAAGCTTTCCAGACGATTCTGTCTGGCTTCGAAGCGCCTGCCACAGGCAGCTGCTTCACCAGCTCCATTAGTGGGGGTTCAGAGTTACGGCTGCTCTGTGTACAACAGGTTTCTAGCCTTTAGTACCTCATTACTTAACTCTGAAGTAGGTGTTTTTGATGTGACAGTGAACCTCCAGCCTGTAATAAACACAAGCAGTGCTAATGTGAGAGTGCTGAAGTGCTAATTGCAGGTTAGGAGCCTGAGGTGCTTTGTCACCGCTGAGCCCTCCTTTGTGTCTTGCTGGGGGACAATTCTCAGCTCCAGGTCTCTGGGGATGGGCAGGGAGAGGCGCCCACACAGTGAGCTGTCCTGTAGGACATTTGACAAGTTATTTGGGGTTCTCGGGGGTTTCCAGGCTTGCGTTTCGATCGCCAGGCCAAGTCAGCGGTGACCGAATGCAGTGCTGTATTTCTCTGCTGACGCAGTGTTTTGGTTCCCCAGGTTATCATCTACATCATCGTCTCGGCTGCCTGCGGGGGGCTCGCGTGGCCCAGCTGCGTGCAGAAGTAACTGGAGGCAGCCAGTGCTGGGCACTTGGAGATGGGAATCACAGGAGCGTGGAGAAGCAACCTATGGCATAACTCTTAGTCCTTCACTACTGACACCTTCTCATTCCTCCATCCCTCCAGGACTGAAGACTTTTTTGCCTTATCACCCCGAACAGGCCCAGCAGGTCACCGCTCTGCAGCTGTAACCTCAAGAATGGGCTGGTTTAAATTACTTGAAGGGATTTATTTTGTTTCTTTTTTTGTTAATTTTTCTGTTCCGATTCCAACCTTCCCAGCTGGGCGGGCAGCACGTCCAGCTGCAGGGGGTGTCTGTGCATGCTCGCCCCCATGTCCCCGTCGCTTTGCGCTTTCGTGTGAGCGTGGAGGTGGAGGACGGCGCCGCTGGGAACTGTCCTGAATGTGGGGATGGTGTGGAGGGCAGGGCAGGGGCTGAGACAAGGTGGGGGGGTGTGAACTCCCACTTCCCACAGATATTGGAGGTCTGTGTCTGGCCTCACGTGGTTCTGCAGCGCTTCAGCACGCAGAGGTGACAACTGTGATACTGGGAGTGACAAAAAGAGTGGCTTTGGAGTTTTGTGCACCATAGGGTGGAGGTGCTGCTTCTGTAGGAAATCAGCCATTTCCTGGAGGTAGGAGGGGGTGTTGGGTCACCCCAGCGGTTAGAAATTGCTGCCTCTTCATCCTCACTTCTTCCTCATCTCCATCTCTTGATTTGTAGCTAAATCAGTGCAGCAAAGGAGATGGTTGCATATGGTTCAGGTTGCGGTTATGTAACTGCTTTCTCACATTGTTTCTCCTGTTCTTTTGAGGGTGGGCTACGAGGAATGCTAACGTTACCACTTGCTAAGGTGAAATTGGGGGGCCAATTTGTTAGTTTGGCTTCGTGAGGTGCCAGGTGTCTGCTGCTTGTGCTGTTACTCCAGGCTTGCGCTACATCCTGAGGACAGAAGAGGGACGGGAGGTTGGAGGCGATGGCTGCATGCTTTGGTCTGAAGAGAGAGGCTCTTTCGGAGGGTGTTGAGACATGGGCTCTTCTGAAGGGAAAAAAACAACCAAAACCAAACCCAGGGCTGAAACCAAATGTAGGATGAGGGGTGCTGGTGAGGTGCTGCTGAGGACAGGGAGGGCTGCGTTTGTCCCAGCTGCAGACCCGAATCTGAAGCTGCTGCCGCCTGGGATGAGGGGTGCAGGGGTGTCTGTCTTTATCTTACAGGCTCATTTCTGAGAGAAGAGAAACGGCTGCAATCTTGTAAGAGCATCAGATGATCTGCAAATGGAGCTGTGTCTTTTTGGCTTCTCCTGGTGGGTGGAGGCTGTGGAGGTAGGGAAGGGGCGGCTCCGTTTGGTGCTCAAACTCGAGGGCTTGGTTGGTGCCGTGGGTTCCCTGTGCCCAGCACCGCTGCTCCTCCAGGCGCTGCTCTGGGAGTGCGGTACGTGGACCTTGGTAAAGACTTCTACCAACTCACACACTTGCTGGGATTTCCCTGCAAGGCTGTAATTTAACCAGATCTCGCTATCCAGCAGGTGTCAGGGGTTCTGCCCAGCACTGCAGGCACTGCACCTGTATCTGTTTAACGGAATGTAAAGCGTAGAGAAAGGTTTCCTTCCTCTTTCCTCCTCCTCCTCAGCCTCCCGTGGCTCGGTGTACAGCTGTGCATGTTGTAGGGGTGGTTGTGTTACCGTGTTCCGTTTCTATGATCTGTTGTCTTATGTACAAATACTTTTTAAAGAAAATACTTCCTTTCCTTTTAAAGGATGCACTGAGGCATTAGTGTAAAAACAAAGGTAACTTGATTTAAATAAAATTCCTGTACAGAAAGCAGATTTCTTCAGTTTTGTGAAGGATGCAGATGGTAGGAAGGTGGCCCTGGGACTGCGGTGTCACCTCGCATGCAGAAGTGCTGCTGTGAAACGGTTTCTGCGATGGCTGTGTAAAACCTTGAGTTTTGGAAGGATCTGGGGGTTGTTTTGCTGCAGCAGGGGCTGTTTTCTGGTGGGGGGAAGCAGCTGCTGTTCCCTGCTGTGACTGCTGGGGATAGGGGGACATGATACCCACTGCCTCACAGCACTCGTGGTGGGAGAGCGCTGGCCCAGGCAGGGCAGTGGTGGTTGTTATTGCTTAGAAGCAAAGTAAGAAGTCTGTGTTAAAACTTGAAGGCAGTTTTAGTGATCTACCCCCCACCTCCAGCAATGGGTGCCTTTCCTCTTATTCAGTCCCAGCTGAGAACCCACTTGTCCTGGGTTTATCAGGCTGATTGACTCTGAAAACTCTGTGCCCTGTCATTTACCTCCAGAGCATTAAATGCTGATGCAGTATTAGGTTGTGGAAGCAGGCTCATGCATCAGCATGAGGGAGTTGGATTTCCTCTTACCCTTGCAGAAAGTGTTTGAATGCAGTTGATTGTTATCTTGGTTTGAGGCAAAGTTGCATTTAATGGCATCTGCTGGGGCTCAGGGTGATAGAGAATATAAAAATGTGAGGGAAAAGCACCTGCTATGAAAATGGCACAGAAAAATGAAAGGATAAAACTTAAATTAACATTTTAAGTGGTGCTTACAGCGCTGGGTTTTGTGGTTGATGTTCCTGATGTGTGGCCCAAAAGCAGAGCTGCCCTTTTCCTGCCATGGTCAGGTCCCTGCCAGGATGGATTTATCTTTCAAATGCCCATGAATCCAGGCAGAAGCCAACCATGAGGTAAGGTCCTGGTTAAAGTTTTTGCTTGCTTCTCTTGGGGTTTCTGGTCGGTCTAGAAATGTGCACCCAGATCTGTGTCTCAGGGGGCATCCATGCAGCAGTTCCTCATAGAAACAACATCACCTGCCTGACAAGCTTTAACCAGAATATAACCTGACACTATTTAAACATCTTACTTACTTTTCCAGGAACTCCTAGTACTGTCTGTCCAGGTGAAGTAACACTCATGAGCCAGTCTGAAACAGCAATTTGATAGCCCCTGTCTCTTCCTCTTTATTTCTAAAGCAAACTTGATGCAAAAAGTGATCTCTGCTGTCCCTGCTGTCAGTGTCGCTTCCCATATTTTGTTGTGCTTAGGGTACTTGTGGATGTTCTCCTAGGAAAGATGTGAACCGAGTGCTGTGAATTGAGTTTTCCTCTGCTAACACTCACCTTATCCTTAGGAAATCCCAAGGTAAATATCACTGCTTGCATCCCAAGGCTTCCTCTGCAGACCTGTGTACCTGTGCAGAGCTGAAGTGCTGCAGCCCACAGATGAAAATCCTCGTTCCTGGCCCAAAAGCCGCTTCAGCAGGCAGAATAAAGCAGATCTAATCCAGCACCAGAACATTTTATTAAACTACACTATAAAAATCACATTGATGGCAGGGAGAACATTGCTGTCAGTGCATGTTTTCTGTACTAAGATGTATCCATGGCATCCAGTGCTCGCTGAGGAAGAGGCCACTGGAGCAGAATCCTTCATAGCCAAAGAATAGAAAATGTCTACAAAAACGAGGGCAGTGAGGGAGGCTGAAGGAGACTGATGGGAAACGCCTCAAGTCAGAGCAGCTGGGGGGTGTTTTTAAAAAGTTTACTTTCACCTGGTGTTTGTAAACTGAAGCTGCTGCCAAATCGCAGGGTTTAACCAGTGCCCCCTGTCCCTGCACACAAACCCACACAAATATTGTGTACTGCCCCTTCGCTTGTGAACCGTGATGGATGCGCTCGAATGCCACAGCTTGGAGTGCACTACCATTATAAAAACAATAAAAAGTAGCAGAAATACATTCTATACAGAAGTAAAAAACACCAAAACCAAACCAACCCCAACAGCTGAGTGTCAGACAAGTATCAGAGAACATCAGGTTGAGTTTTAAAAGCCTTACTCCTAACACCTGTATCGCTATTTCTAGTCCCCCCCAGCCACTGCTCGAAGCTGCTTTCTGGCACTAACGGGACAAGCAGGTGCCTTTTCACGCAGCGTCCTCAGGAGCAATCACCTAAGTTTTTAGTGACAGACCCCCAAAGGGCTGCAGGCAGAGGTCTGTATCAAATAAGGCTATTTTCGGTCTCCAAAGACTCGTGTTCCAGTCGTGTTTGAGCAGTGGGCGCAGCAGCAGTTGTCTGTCCCACTGCAGAAGTGAGGCTGTCGGCAGGAGCAGGGGGTGAGCTGGTGTGGACTGAAGGACTCTGGACACCGGGCTGTGTTGTCATGTCAGGGGCTGCACCCAGCCAGCTGGGGGGCTGCTCCGCAGGGTCAGCCTGGGGGTCAGTAGCACCCGTCCTTCCAGGAGTCGTCCTCGGGGGGTGGTGCTGCCTGCACAAACCTGCTTGGACACAAACAGATTGATTTATTTTTTAAATTAAGTAGATACAGTTCAGTTTACTGAAGGCTGCAACAGGACATTAAAAGTCAGCAAGTACTACTTATTAGTCGGATACTGAATCAGCTTAACTTCCCTCAATCATAACAGGTTTACACTATAATTGTACTGCAAATAGCTGTAAAAAACAGCTTTTGGAATTCGGTAGTGGAGTTACCAGACAAAAAAAGCAGAGCGGCTGCCTGAGGACAGCGGGATGAAGAGTGTGCTTTGCTAAAATGGCATAAAGCCACGTGCAGGGAGGCGTTAGATGCATCTTAGAGGCCTTATTCGTTGAAGAGACTGAGTATGTTCTACCTGAACAGCTGCTGCTTTAGACTATCTACAGAATTCAGATACCCACTGTCTAAATATTTAGGTAGCTAATCTTAAAAGTTATAAGATGGAAAATAAATGTAAAAAAAAAAAAGTCCCAAAACCCATTGCCTCCTCCTGGATTAAGATGTAGCCCCTAACTCGGTTCAGACTTGGGCAACAAGCAAAAATTGTACATTTTTGTAAACTATTGTATATGCTCTGCTTTCAGCCTGTTCTATAAAGACAACGAATCAAGTTTAAGAGACGCCTTGTTAACTTGTCCTACTTTTCAGCTCCTTTAAAAACTCATTAGGGCTCAGACAATGCCCACCTCAAGTCCTGACTGAAGACTGAGGGAGAAAATCTGGTGGGTTTTGTGGTTTTATTTTCCTGGTAGCAAAGTTACAGAGGCATTGAAGTCATCTGGGAAGGCTGTTACATTAACAGTAAAGGGAGTTTATTAGTCCTTTGGAAGAGTTTTTCCCCTTCCCCAAACCAGGTGATGTACCAAATAAACGTGCCATAATGTTAATTTCTTACAGAAATAAGCTTGAGCCCACGCCGCCTCATTTTCCTGGATAATCGGCTTTGATTTTAAAAAGCATTTATCTTTTTAAACTCACTCAGCAGGCGGTGAGTCCCAGCCTGTCAGCTCACACACACCCACAGAGTTTAACTGTAGTGGTATTTACAGGAACTGCGACCCCTTTGCTGCTCAGCTGGGGGCAAAGTACGTCACCTCCATGAATCCACCAGCTGAAGGGCACCCTTTCTTTACTGGCTTTCCTACATCAGTAGCTCTGACCCGGCTCTGTACCCACTTTAAAATGATGACCCCCACTTTATAAAAAAGCATTTCTAATCCATGCAGTGAAGTCTGAGGCTCAAGGTCTCACTCTTACCTCTTGGATGGTGCCGTGGGCTTGCTCCTGGGCACCGAGATGCCTCCGACCGACGTGCGCACTTTCATGGGTGTAACTTTTGCCACAGTGACCGCGTTGCTGCTCCTGGAGGTGCAGCCGCTGCTGGAGGAGCCGGGACCCGGCGCCGATGCCTGTGGTTTTCGAGTGCCGCCGACAGGACTTCCGTAGCTGCCAGCTTTCACGGGCTGCCTGGCTGCTAACAGAGAGTTTGCGCATGACCCGGCCTTCAGCGGCTGCCGCACCGTTAGGGGAGACTGCCCAGAGCCAGAGGAGTACCTGAGCTTGCTGGGAGCCAGACCTACACACGGGATAGTGAAGGATAACCCAGTTGGCAACAGGATTTTGGGATATTGGGCCTTTTAAGGGCCTCAGGTGTTGGATCGGTTAAACCAACAAAAGCAGGGGATGCTGCACTGACCTGCTGAGCGCTGCTGTGTCCGTGGGATTCGGCTGCTCGGCACCTGCAGATCTGACTCCGGGCTCCGACTGCTCCGCACGGACTCCAGAGCCCGGAGGCTCGTCCTGGCCAGGCTGGGCATGCTGTGGCGCATCTCCTCTGAAATCGAGAGCAAATGCTCTTATTTGCTGCTTCTGGAGACGTATCATGGTTTAGACTATCTCTTGACAAACACAGTGCTTAGGAGCAGACAAGTGTGCAACTAATTCCATTAAATAACAGCACTTTTGAAGTGTGAATGTCAAAATTACTTCCACCGACTTGTACAAAACTCACGAGTATCTCACCTTCACTGTTCGCATACTTGAGCCGGTCCTGCATCGGACTTTGCACAGATCTCCTTGGGGGACAGATGCGGGATGTGGATGCCCTGCTGTAATCTGCACTGGAGGAAGGGGACTGGCAGCGGGGGGAGCTGAGCGGGGATGGTGAGTATCGGTGAGCGCTGCGGTACGACAGGGAGCAGTCGTAGTCGTCCTCATCCTCCAGGCTGTAGGTGTCGAACTCCTGGTCGCTGTAGGTGCCTCTGCGCAGGGAGTGGAGGGAGGCGCTGGAGCTGCGGCGTGACACGGAGGCAGAGCTGGAGGCACAATCCTGGCGGAGGCCTGGGGACACAGGGCAGCATAGTCCAAAAATAGACATTATAATGGAAATGCCTCACCCAGTCACAACACACGTTTATTTATATGTCCTCCCCCCATTGCCACCTTTACTGAAGTCATCTTTCCTAACAAAATCCATCAACTAGCTTCTTACCAAGAACTAATTTTTCAAACTGGTTGAAGGTACTTTTGAGAAAGGCATCAGTTGAAGCTCTGAAATGCTCTCCTCTCAGTGCACTCCCTTCATTACAGGGATTCAAATAAAACAAGTGTTTGGCTCTTCCCCCTTCACAATGCAACCATGAAAAGCCTCCATCATTCTAAGGATGAAGCACTTCTCATCTTTTACTGGAAACTTCTTACGGGACAGGATTTCCTTGACCTTTATTGTGCAGTGATCACAAAGCCTAAGAAAACATTCAAGTTTAGGAAGAAAAAGGCTGTTATTTGCTGTATTCAATTTAATACAGCTTTTCCTGTGCGCTCCGGTGCAATAACGTGGTAACAAGATTTTATCTCTTTTGCTGTTTTTGCTCTCATATTCGAATTCTTGGACCACAGAGTTTTCAAAGTTTATAAAGGCACAGTACTAAAAGTAAGAAAATGTTCTCCAAAAGAACAGAGAACTTCATTCTCTAGTTCCTGTAAATCAAATTAATGATTAATTTGCACAGAAACACAGATCCAACCACTTTGTTCCACCTTGATCTTCAATTAGGACCCGATCCAAATCACACTGAAGTCAATGAAGAGTTCAGCAGTGATTTCATGGGAACTGGATCAGGGCCCCGAAATCCCCACACGCGGGGACACAAACACAGTTTATGCTCAGGTTACGTTTGCAGAGCTGCCTCTGAACACTTCGCCAGGGCAAAACTTAAACTGTAATTTCAGCTCTTTCAGCTTTAGTCCTGTAAAGGCGGAAGAGAAGAACGGCTGGGCTCCCAGTATGTTCCTCTACGACTCTAAACCCGTAACAAAAGGTGGCGGCGGTCACGTACTCTCTTCCTGCAGGCGGGCCATGACCTGGACGTCGGTCAAGTCCTGCAGTTTGTACCCCATGGAGATGGAGTCGTCGGAGGTGCTCAGCTCGCTGTCCACCGACGACTGGGAGCTGAGCGCAGAGTGCATGCTCAGGTAACCTGCAGGGACACAGAGCACTCAGACACACACAAAAAACAGGAACGAGCAGCAGAGTATTTAGTCCAGTAATGACAGTTGGGGAGCTGAAGTGCAGTTGCTGGAAATAATTAAGGAGTTAGAATTTCCTTGAGAATGCAGCACTCGGTATTTTAACCTGTCATTTTCAGGAGGAAGTGTCTTTATGCAAGGAAAACAAAAAAAAGTAGATTTCTGTCCAGAAGGTGGCAAACGGATGCTTGGTAACTTTGGGCTTGGCAATATCCTTTAAAAGATCGGTGCTGTTTCTGCCTATCTTGAGAAAGGGACAGCTTCTGATCCAGATATTGCCAGGGCATTGGTGTGCAGTCACAGGAGTAAAAAAGATCCAAATGGCTTTTACAGTGCAGTAACCTCAAAACCCAGCCATGCAGTCTGCTTACACAAAGCTGCGTTTACACTGGATTGCCTCCTCCCTGTTCCTGAGGTTTATCCTTTTCCCCTCCCATGACAATCCAAGCTCTGCCTTACAGGGAAGGACACGGCTTGTTCATGGAGCAGCATGAAAAAAACCAAAACAACGGGAAGGATCTTTCCACCAGGGAAGTTTTTCCATAAGCCAGGCATTAGGAAGAGGAACAAATAATCTTCCTTTTAAAGAATAATGATTAAAAGATCATCATAATCATCATTAAGTACAAGGTTTCACCTGCTGGTACTTCTTTGAGAAAGAGCATGCAATGCTGAGCGTACCTCCACCTTCTTTTCCCATTTTATAACTACCACACTGCTTTGTATTAAAAAAAAACCAACACAAACTACAAAAAAACCCTAAAACTTTGCTAGAAATATTTCTGTAAGCACAGAAGGAATAGTCAGTGTAAAACCTCTACATGGCAAACGTGCTTACCTGTGCTACATGGTGCCAAATACCATAATACGCTCCTAGCATAACCCTCACACAGAGATACGAGACCACATAACACACAGAGCTATTTTAGGAGACAGGACATCATTACCTTAAGGTAATTCCAAGACAAGGTTGCAATTAGTAGATACATTTAGACTCACTATAGTAAAGAAAAACTACAATCCCGATCTGACAGATCAGCAAAAGGCAGCAGATAGGCCAGAGCCTAAGGGCACTGAGCACGGCTTTCAGCTGGAGAAGGCTTAACGAATACAAATCTGGCTTAGGAAGGGACCAGAGATCATCACTTCAACAAAAGGCACCATGTAGGCTCTAGCACACCAGTCTACAGATCAACCATACAAGCCAGCAATTTTTTTGGGGGGAAAGCATCTATGCAATGTCATCTACCACTGACTTTTAGTGCACCTACTGAATAATTCTCAGCAGTGTTGCTAGAAATAAAATATTTTGTCTGTTCTCGGCAAACCATCCCAAAACCACTGCTGATGAGTAACCCTTTCAAACAATGACTAATTCCAGGCAGGCAGGAACAAGCAGCAGGTTCCCAATGTGATTCCAATGTTATTTCTTCAAGTTTTGAAAAGCAGGAACTGAAAAAGTCCATTTGAAGTCCAAGCATCAAATGAATTTCTTAGGTGGACACTGAGCGAACTGCTCTGGACCAGCAAACCTCAAATTGCCCATTTGAAAAGACAAGGTTTTTCCAGATGCTCATGTAATGCAGTGACAGAAGCGCAACTGCAACACGAAGGGTGCACAAACACACGCTCGCACGTCAGGATGCTCCAACATCATCCCCTTTCCTTTCTTCTGGTGCTGGGAAAAACACTGTGAGCAGTTGAAATAAAGCCAGAGGAGGGGTTACACCTGTAGTATAATGACCAAGCAGAGGTTTCCTGCTGTAATGAACATCTATAATACTAAACAGCTGCGTTAAAATTACAGCTTACCTTGAACACAGCTTTTTAAAAAGCCAAGTTCCCAATTCAGTTGTGAGTGTTTAGTTCGGCTGTTGCATTTCAAACTGCAGCTCTGTTTAAAAACAGCCAAGGAGGGGAAAGAAAACATTCCCACTCTCTCATCAGTAAAAACTGCTGCGGCTCAGCACTGTGAGATGGTGGTTTTCATTACAGAATCTTCAAAATAAACCACATCTGGATTTTGCAAAAGGTTTTTTGTTTTGTGTTTAAGGGCAGTTGCTGCTAAACATTTTTCATTTGAACGGTAAGGAAGCTCCCACACGGACAAAGCCTGCTCTGCACTGCACTTTTCATTTGGTACCTTGACCGCCTCGGCAGATTTGCAGAGTGACTGAAGAAGTCACTGCGGTTTTATGCCACTGCTGTGTGAAAAGGTGGCCAGACACCTAACATCGATTGCCTACCAACTGCGTGTTAAAACCTAGAAATTGGTTTAGGGATGTTTCCCTGCAGAATTTAACTCACGACAATCAGCTGTACAGGCATCCTTTTGTCTGCAAAAGGGAGACAAACGTCCCTCTGGATTTACGGCAGAGCTCAGAAGCACACCTGGAGCTGTGAAAACATCCACACACAACCCTCTTTTCTTTTTCCCTCTCTAAAAGACGTCGGTCATTCATTTAACATCAAGTTAAATCTCAAGCCAGAAACTGTTAAACATGCTTTATGTTTTTAAACAGGCGAATTAGGATATAGCCATTTCCACTAAAAACCCCCCAAAAATCACGGAAGACTGCTTTGATAATAGGAGTCTAACAAGGATTTGGTGTCAGTTGCCTCTCGGGTAGGAAGTCTTACTCCAAACACTAAGTATGATGGAAAGCTTTGGTTATTTTACGTTTTGCTGCCCACTGGGCCAATTTAAAGGCACATCCTGGAGACTACACCTTTTATCTTAAAGCACAAGGCTTCTTTCTGTTGCCTATGTTAATCTGTATTTTCAAAAGAAACGTCACAAACTCTCAAGCCAGAAAAACTGGATCCAAGTAACTTTATCACATTAACACCTCCGTATGATAACATTATTCAAGAGCAATAGTTTCTTTGCCCCAACAGCTGTTTTCTATTTAAGTCACTTAAAATTAGTACAATATACAAATACATAGAGAGAAAGTTATAAAAACAAGACCATGCAATAACTACAAGACATTTAGAATGCAAGGAGGTTTTCTCCCACTTAACAGATGAAACCTGTGTCAATAAGTCAGCAAATTTAAAGGAGAAGACCCCATGGGTGGACTTGCACCTCTGAACAGCTTTTCCCCATGTCAATCAGCAACACCCCTTGCATTTTAAACACACCAGGTTCGCACTGCTCCGCTGCCATGCCATACCTGAGCTGCCACAGGTTAGTAGTGCTTTGTTAGTCGATTTGAGGTGCCCGGGAGAGTTTAGTGCATTGCTACAGGAGCCTGTCTCTGTATTCAAGTTATGTGCGCTGGGTGATGCCAACGGGCTGCAATACAGGTTTTTCCATCTACTGGCTAGAAGGAAAAAATACAAAAAAGCCATGAAGGTTAGCAAATTATTTTTAAAAACCAAGGAGCACAAGATTAAGAAAGGCAGCAGATCAAACAAGGTTAAATATTGGACATCTCGCTGCTGTCAGGTACAGGACGAAGCAGAACAGCACCTGCTCCCATGCTCGCTCTCCTTTCCAACTCTCTTTGTCACTGCTGAAGAATTCCAAGACTTTAAAGAAACCACACTTTTCTGGCAGTTTCAGCGCTGGTCCTCAAAGATGACTGTTCTCATAAATACCCATCACTCCTACACCGCGTCTTCATTTTAAATAACTCCCTTGAACTTTGTGTTTACACGTGTTAGTTTGAATTTTTAATGATGGAATCAAACCAGCATTAAACTACAAAAGCAATGCCTTTAGATTAAAAGGAGAGCAAATGGATACGAAAAACAACCATTCTGAAATGTTTATTCAGCGCGCAGACATGCATACGAGTTAGTAAAACAATCCAAAAGAAGACAGGTAGCAAAACTTGGTGCATCCACGCTTAGGAAGCTGCAATGCTAAAATGACCCAGGCCATGATCTGTATTCAGGGGTTGAACTGCCCACCAAACCACTACCGTCGAGAGAACAGCAGCTAAGACAGTAACAGTTTCACTATATAGTTTTCTTTTTTATTTGCCCCACAAATATAAGGTCAGACTATTTTAGTTAAAAAGGAGTGACAGAATACAAATAAAGCCTGAAACATTTCAGGCAGAAAGCGAAGAGTTCATAGAATCTCCATTCAAATTTTGAAGCGCAGATGGTTTATAAAAGTAAATGAAGTTTGTTCTCAAACTACTTCAGTTATCTCAAATCAGGAATTTCAAGGCTGAACTCAAAATAAGCCTGGTTACAAGCAGTACCAAAACACTGTTAGTTTGGGAACTAAAAAATGCAAACCAAGACAAAGCAGTGGCCTCTCAGACTTCACACCACCGCAGTCAAATTACTGTCAAACCAAAGTCAGAATTATAGCATTCGCACTGCAGAACCCAGGCAGACAACAACCGCTGTACCAAACTGGGGCTGTATTTTCAGCAGGCAAGAGCATCACTGAGCTTCACAACATTCACTCGCTCAGAAACTTCACTTTTCCAAGCACTGCTAGGCAAAGTTTTGTGTTTGATGTCAAACCAGACAGATGGGGCTGCAACGTGTCCTGCTCTGTAATGCTTTATAATGAGAAGTTCTAAGAAAATAATGCAAGTAGTCATCCATAGCTGCCCATAAGATAGGTACAGATAGAAAAATAGAAAAACCATCTCATTCTGTGATGATGTAAACTCTATTCTAACAGCTCTGACACCAGCAACAGGCAAATACGGGATTGATCCTTTCCCGTTCCAAAGAAGGGCAAGAAAAACCCCAAACCTACAACCCCCACCATGCTGTGGTGTGCGGCTGCTGAACACAACGCTCCGCAGCCTTTTGGTTTCAGGCAGATTAAATGAGGGGTTTTTCCCTCAGCGGTTAAGCAGCACAGCTGAAAGCCACCATGAAGTGCTTTTAGGGGATGAAAAACCAGAAGAAAACTCTGTTTCCAAGTATACCACTTCTTCAAGTTACAGATTTGAATGTTTCATTGTTGTAAACTTTTAGCACCAGACAACTATTTTACCTAGGTAATGATACTAATGGTAAAATACAGTAAGAATAATCACCATTAGAAACAACACCACTGGAACTTTTCATATAGAAAAAAGCTGCAACCATTGTTTACATTAAAGATGGTTAAATATTTAAAAACCAAAATTGATTGAGAGTCTGAAAACATTAAAAATATTTAGTGTTTAGGCTCTGAGCGTGTTAAAAAACCCAAACATACCAGAAAGCAAGGTGGTGAATCTGAAATGCCCATATCTGTGTCTTAAAAAATAGAGAGGCAAAGCATCACAGTTCAGATTGTTTTGTAATCACTTGTAATCACCACCACAGTTTTCTTATCGATCGCTCACCCCCATCAGTTGAGGCATCACCGATGTAAACCAAAACCAGGGGGTTTTACACAGGGACCAACCTGGCTGCAGGAAAAGGCACCACAGCACCACGGCTGAAGCAGCCGTTCCCCACTGCAGCACCCCTAAACTTCACAGCTCCTTTGCTTTCCCGTTTCTCAATGTAAAATGGAAATAAAGAAACTCGAAAAAGCCATGTTCGTAGTTTCCGTACCTTGATCGAGTCTGTTTATAAGGGTTCGGCAGGCTGCTTCTGTCTCGGGACTGGGGTTATCCAGCACCTGTCGGCACCACTTTAAAGGCGAGTCTGTTTTCGGATCTGTAGCAGATTTTCTCGGGGACACGTAGAGCCTTTGCAAGGATTGAAAGGAGACAGGCAAAATTCCTCATTAACTCAAAGCACAACCCACCAAAGTCACATTCACTAAAGTATGGCTAATGGGAAGCAAGAGAAAAGTGATCCAAATGAAAAACGGGGGGAAAAATGAAGTTCAAATTGTATACTACGACTCAGCAGCAGAATTTACTATCACAACAGTAACATTCACTTAAAGATGGCTTTAGAGAGGAAGTGCAGAGCCTGGGCTGTTGGACCACCACTAAAAGCCTAGCTACTGGTGTACTCCTGTCACCCCTGCCTCTCCCCTCGAAACCATTTCAGGACAAGGATAGCAGGGCCGAGGAGGGGGTTTCTGGCCTGAGATCCAAGCTGATCTGCTGTCAGAAATCTGCTGTATTATGTCTTGTTAACAACCCCACGGCTCTGGATATTCCATCTCTATCGCACTGCATCACCAGTTGGCTCCCATCTCTCAACAGAAGTTCCCCTGAAGTCTGAATTTTTGACAGTTCTAATACACCCAGCATTGTTTTGCATATCCATACAGGATTAGCCTTATGTACAGTCTGAATTACCTTCAAGTCCTGGATTCTCTACAACTGATCTTGTGTAAAGTAGCAACTTAACTGTATCTTACATGCAGAAAATTTCTCCCAAGAAAGGGTCAAACTGAAAAGCAACTCAAGAATTTTACTTACATATCTCACATTTGCATTTTTCAAGTAAAAAAAAAATCCCAATAAACAGAAAGCACCTTATATTTCAACACTGTTACTATTTAGCAACACACTTAAAACTTTCGAGGGAAAAAAACCCAACAGTATTGTGTACATATAGAAGTTAAGCAGTTTTTAACTCTCAAATGTCACTTAGAGAAGAAGAGGGCATGGAGACCTCAATCAATCACAGCACTGAAAGGCAGGAACAGAAACAAGCACAGTCATTAACAAAATGTGCCCAGAGAGACAAATTTCCTGCATGTGCTGATACGTACCTTGATTTATCGTTCATGCTTGGCTCGGTCACCTCCACGTGCAGGTGCTCACTGTGCTGTGAGCACACTGCTACAAACAGTTATTTCACACAGGATTCAAGGGATCAGGAGAAGGCTTCACAGGCAGCAACAAGAGCTCTGCGGTGGTGCTGACAAATTTAAGAACTTGCATCTGTGGGATTTCTACAGAGTCTGCAAGCGGTCAGCTCTAAGCTCAGTGAGAGGAGTTCTCCCATGCACACAACACACAACACAAAACTGCTGGTTTTTTCCACCACCTTGCTCTGAATCCATTAATCCAAACTGTTCAAAGGTGATGAAGAGTCCTCCTCCTGGTCACCACAAACCACCTACAGCCACACCTGAGGATTTACGCTGCTCCCAGCACTCCCTCACGCTGATGTATACGGCGTATTTCACCTGTATCACCGCAAAACCCAGTATTTGAGCTCAAAATGATCACAAGGATGGTTTTAAGATCTCAAGGAATGTCTTCCTCTTCAGTCACCTCTTACTCAAACTCAATGTTTGGCTAAAATAAAACATACAAACAACTGGGATGTTTTGAATATTGTCCTGGCATCAATATGTCCATCTCACCTATTGCCCTGTCTCCAGGTAAGGCTCAGTACCAAAATAATCAACCCCAAAGCTGTGTTGATGCAGAAAGCTGTTCCAAAACCCCACAATTTTGGAATCGGGGGCTATCAGATCGAGCACCCCTGCATGCAACAGCTCTCCAAAGGATATTTTCCAGGTGAGGAACCACCCCCATTCACCTGCTCTGAAAACATCACCTAGTTTTTACTCCTGATGTTGGCTGGTTCCTGAGGGTAGGACACAGGTGGCTCAGAATTTTTCTCTCTTGCCTTGCTGTGCCACTCACGATTTTACAGATCCTCATAATATTCCAAACCCATAGGGAGTAGAAAAAAAACCAGTCTCTTTGGTCACGTCTCATACAGAGATGTTTTGATATCAAGCTTTGCACAAAACCACATGCAAATAAAAACATCCAAAAGCTAATTTGCTATTTAGAAAATAAATGCTGAGAAATGTGAACACAAATATTCCTGAACGTGCACTGTTATGTTTTATGCAAGACTCCACAGGCAAACCTTGCTGCGTTTCTGCATGGGCAGATGAGCATTACAACCACTCAGATCTGATAAAACAGAGACAGCAAAGTGCTCTCTCTCTGGATTTATTTTACAGTTCAGACCAAAAAAGCAGCAACAAAACAGTCAACCAAATGAGAGGCCAATGGCCTCCTTAGGGTAGGTCACGCTGTTCTCCACACATTTTAGGTTAAGGGAGAAAATCCTGCTCTACTTCAGGATGTAGCTGTTTTACCCAGCTCCTTTCGTGCTTCTGCCCAGAACCGCACCAGCTGCAAGTGGCGACACTGGTTTGAGTGCTGGGACCACGTCCACACGGAGCTGAGCTCCCTGGTGCCAGAGGATGCTCATTTTTCAGCTGACAGGTCTACTGCAAGAGATGGTCTCACATAATTGAGTTTAGAGAAATGGTAAGAACAACTCAATTTTTCAGAGCACTGACAGGCAACTTATAAAAGAGAGAAATCCTGGTTTGATTTCCTACAACCAGGTTTACTAATTTCCTTTTTAAGTAGCTTTGGGGAAAGGTTCAACGCATTTAGCAAGGTAACTTCTCAAAATATGCTGGCATAGCTTATTCTTCTGGAGCACTGCACACCATCGGCTGATAAACTGAAACCACAGTCCCATTAATAGAAGTGAATATTTTTACTGATACAATATTAAGACCCAAAAGTCACCTTTTACCAGAGCCCCGCACACCGCAGCACAGCGAGAGGCCAGGTTAATACAAGATCACATTTCTAGCTGAACTAAACCAGGCTTTCCTCCAAAAGGGGTTTTTGTGATAAGCTGAACTCACTGTGCTCTGGTTAAAAAGATGCAGCATTTTCTTTCTGGTAGGTTTATCCTCTAAGGCTGTTTGATTTGTCAGGTTAACTTAATCCAATAAGCACTGGAAAAAATGTACTCGGGCACCATTTAAGTGCACATTTGATTGCCAGCGCGCGAGTCAGCCAAAGTCTTTGGGGTTTAACAAATATCTGATTACTGAATAAGCTTTATCTTGTATTTTGTTCCGACAGCTCAGCAGTTTAGAGGTGAAGCATGTTCTGTTTAAATGGCAAAAGGCTGTGCTTTAAATACTTTGTCAAATTGCAAACGACAACTGAGAAGTTATTTTGATAGTTGCAAGGTCTACATCTGAATGCAGAAAGTAAACGTCGGGCCAGATACCCTCCATTTGATCTACTGGGCTTTTGCTATATAACTTACTAAACGTGAATGAGATTTTCTTCACCTTCTGTGAGGAAACCCTTAGATAAAGCATCTTTCATTTCTGCTTACTTACGTGTGTTCTTCACTTGCCCATATAAAGTATTTTGTGAGATGAACCTCTGGCAAGAGCCAAGTAGCTTTAATTGTGCAGCAAGCACAACATGACATTTTTCTTCCATTAAGAATGCAGGCACTCAAAAAATAAATTAGGGGGATTCTGTGCACTTCATTCTGACATATTCCAGAGTACTAAAAGCAGAATATCTTCTAGAGATACTGTTTTTCTTTCAGGGTTAAAGTCACAGGAGGATTTATGGGCATTAATGGCCACTATGGTTTGATTTCAAAAATACCACTTTAAATAACCCCCACTAAGGATCTAGAAAATACAACAACAACTTTCTTGACTTGCACAAACAAAATAATTAATCATCTTCGTATGTTGCAGAAAGCTCTGTAACTACCACATTAGTAAATTAAACTGGAAGTAAAATGAACTGTTTTTAAGATGCATGCTTGGCTTCTTACAATTCTTCCACAGAACTCAGCACCAGTAGCTACAGCAGTATCAGAAGTGGCTGACATTATACTGATTTTCATGCCCTTGAGTTGCATGCATCAGTGTAAGGAGAAAGAGACCTAAGGTACTAAATGTGTTTAGAACAATTCAGGTTTATAAAATCCACCGGCATAAAGTGCTAAGACGGCAGCTAAATTCCTCTATAAAGTGGGTATTTCAAACAGATCATGCAGTCATTTTCCTTTCCTTTACATATCTGACTTCAGCACTGATGTTCAGATTTATCACTGTACTTGTGCTGTACAAATATCAAATCTGATCACTCCTGTTGAACAGTAATACCAATACTAACAATAGTGTTGTGGAAAGCACCAGTGAAACAATACTGTCCAGGTCTTGGAAAGGGCAGAAACATAAAAGGAAAGAACGAGAAAAATCCTGTGGAAAACACTCCACGCAAGAATGTTACAGTATGAGCACAAGTAGGGGTTTGAGCCTTTATTCCAAAGCAAGAGGAATTAGGAAGAGATAAAAAAACCTACACTGCAAAACCCAGGAGAGGTACCACTATTTCCTGTCTATCCAGTGACTAATCCTGCTGA